GATGATGTTTGGATAATGGTTGGATGATGGATGGAGCAATGATGGATAATGATGTTTGGATAATGGTTGGATGATGGCTGGAGCGATGATGGATGGAAGATGGTTGGATAATGGTTGGATGATGGATGGAGCAATGATGGATGGATGATGTTTGGATAATGGTTGGATGATGGCTGGAGCGATGATGGATGGAAGATGGTTGGATAATGGTTGGATGATGGATGGAGTGATGATAATAATTATGTAATTAGGCTAAAGTTTGTTACCTGGTAGTAATTAGGCCATGACGTAGACACAGCAAGCTCCACCACCTTCCAGGTGTGGTAGGCGGGGCCAGAGGAGTTAAAGATTGGAATTCCCAATGGACTGTTGTTCTCTGCAGGTGAAGCAAACAATGTGAGTATACCTCAGAGCTCTGCCCACACAAGGTTAAAGGTTCTTTATCGTCATTTGCATCACATGTGGTACATGAGGCGGAACAAAATTGTGTACTCAAGGTCCCAGTTAAATCCAAAATTAGCAAAAATATAAAGTATTAAAATAAACAATCTATAAAGATCTAAGATATATGCTAAACATTAACAATGTTTTGTTTGTAACAACAAGAAAAAAAAAGTCTGATAGGAATTTTTTTCGCCTCCAACTCCTCCATGTGTCCAGTTAACCACAGTTTTTGTCCAAACAGGTCTCACTTGGAAATGGCAAGTGTAAATTTTCCTAAATGCCGACAAAACCAAAGGGATGCTTTTTTCAAACAGGAAGTTGGTCCCAGCAGTTCTTCCTCCGATTTTATCCTCAAATGGTGTCCCCATTGAGTTTGTTGATTCCTATAAATATTTGGGTATCTTGGTCGACTCACATCTTTCTTTTAAGCCTCATGTTGAAAACTTGTTAAAGAAACTGGAAGTTAAACTGGGTTTCTTTTTCAGAAACAGATCCTGTCTAACCCTGAATGTTAGGAAACACCTTGTATCTGTGACTTTCCTTCCCTCCATTGATTTTGGTGATATTATTTACATGAACACTCCTACAAGAACCCTGCAGATGTTGAATGCTGCAGATGTTGGATGC